TACTCTCTTCCTAGTGGTTATTTGCTGTAAAAGATGCAGACATGATATCCTATTTACAAACACTATTAGAACAAATCCCTCTATTCATTAAGAGAATGTAACTATATCTCTATCCTAACCATTTTGAATACACAGATACAAAACAGACATTCATCTGTATCCCTTTTTTGTTTAGTTCCATCATTTGAATATTATAGGTGTGTTAACTCAGCAAAATATTCTAAAAGAGTCCAGTAGCCCATAATAGTATTGGATTTTCCTCTTGACTGGCAGTGTCAGAAATTGTTGACCTGAGTCCCCTACAGCTCAACATAACAGTATGGCTTTACTTCTTATACTTTATTTTTATACTTTTCTGCTGGATGGTTAAGACCAAGGTAAAGCAGGACCTATGCAACAAGAGTTGTGGCTTTTGGATCTGATAAGGTCAGTGAAATCCCCTCAGGATTTATCCTGAGATCCTATACCTCAGATTGTAGAACCTTTGTCAGTGTCAGCCATGTGAATGAGTCATGGCCATTGCTTGGCCAATGTGCTCTCTGTGAAAGCCTGAGAGAACGTTTTCTCTCCATGTGACTGTCCTTCACCTTAAGATTTGATTTCTCTGCAGGTCAGTTTCTCACTTTTCAGCAGCATGATCACTGGTCTTTTTTTTTTTTTTTTTTTTCCAAGCAACAGTTAGACTTTATATTTATCACACATAATTCTAAGTTTTAAAACAGTTACTTTGTGGTAAGTATAACTGTTCCAAAACTTAGAATTATGTGTGATAAATATGAAGTGTTCAGACTCAGCACTTAGGAATTTCTAGATAAACTGATGACTATGTGATTAACTTCTTCTGATCATCCTACTATATATGTATATGTATAGAATAAATATAATTTAGGACTTACCAAGACAAAAGTACTGTTGATGGCTCAGACTTCTGCAACTTTTCATGCTATCAAAGCTATTTATTTTTAGATTATTAGTGAGCTCTACTAACTAAATCCAATAGTCTGAAGTCATGCTAAGCAACTTTTCCATGATATTTAGCCTATTGCTCTTTTAAGAACCTTATATCATTTTATAGTTTCCTGACTCAAGTGTCTTTTAGATCTCTTGCCACCCACTCTGGCCACATCCCAGCCTCCTTCCTTATCCATCTTCCTCATTAGACTCACACCAAGATGTTCCCATCACCTCTATTCCATCCTTGCTATGGTCTCTCCCAGGACAGGATCACCAAACTTAATCATCATTTAAATGTGAATGGCTTCCTAGACTTTAGTCTTTTTTTTTTCTAAAGCTTTAAATTTTACATCCAAGTGGAACACTGCCTATCTCCTAGATTCCTAAATATTAACACATCTAGTAAAGTGTTAAACCTATTCCCTCCTTGTATTCCTTATCTCAATTCATGGCAGCAGCATCTTTCCTGGCATCAGAGCTGTGGTTGGATGTCACATCTCCTTTTGTCCAATTTATTTATTTATTTATTTATTTATTTGGTTGGTTGGTACAGAGTCGCTGGGCAAGCACAGCATGCGGTAGCAGGGACTGAACCCAGGTCCTTGCTTGCCTGGCAAGCTAGACCGCTGAGCTGTCTCCCTATTTCTGTAACTGGTGTGAGTTTTGCAGCGACAGTCACATAACAGTGCTCAAAAGCAAGGACCCTGGAGCTGGTTATGAGGACTCAATTCTAAGCCTAATTAGATGAGAGAACTTGTGCAAATGCTTACCCTCTCTTTCTGAGTTTACTCATCTCTGAAATGAGGATAATAATGGTAGTTAGTTACCTTCTATGGTTCTTGGGAGGATTAAACAAATTTGCATTTGCAAAGTGGTTACACCAAGAGCCAGGCCTAGTAAATCCTTGTTAATAAATTGGTGTTGAGTTTGTCTCCATTTTGATCTCTCCTTCCTACAATGACAGAAGCTTTCATGAGGGTATCTGTTATTGAGTGCTCAACCAGGGGCCAAGCATAATACTAAATCATTTACATACAGAATCTCATTTAATCCTCAAAATAATCTGCAAGGAAGGAGGTCTAATTCCTGTTTGACAGACTAGGAAACTGGGCTTTAAAGGCTAATGTACTTTGCCCAAGGGCACACAGCTTGTAAATGGCAGAGTTGGGATTTTAATGCAGTTCTGTTTATGCCTGGGATCAATGTTCAAAATCAGAAAGCTACACTATATATACTGCTTTTTCTAAATCTGAGTCGCTTACTTCTTCTAAGATCCCATGTCTATGTTATTATGATCAATTCCTTCACAATCTTGTTCCATTTTAACTTCACTTCCCATGGCTTCTCTCGGGTTGGCCTGGTCTTTGTTTCTTTCCTTTTTGCTTTTCTTCTTTCCTTCCCTTTTGTTTTCTTTTGTTCCTTCAACACTTGTTGAAGGCCTGAGTGCCTGGCACTGTGTTAAGCTGCACAGCAATTTGCCTTCATGGAGCTCATGGTTGGACAGAAATTATCGATGACAATACAGAATAAGATGATATAATAGCCAGATTGGGGAGAGGAGGAGACAAAGCAGAGAAAATTTCATTAAGGAGACATTTTGCTGCCTCAAAGGATATTCTGGTCAGATAGCTTCTGGTCATTTAAAAAATCATTTTGACATTATCTTGCTTTTTGTTTTTAAGATCCTTTCTCTGTCAGAGTATTGTCTAAGACTGAATTTCAAAACCATGTCTGTTACACTATCTTTTACTTTCTGGTCAGCTAGATGTTTGTTTCCTTATACATGCCTCAATTATAGCATGTATCATACTTTAGTCTAGCTGTTGGTCTACGTGCCCATCATTTTGACTGGATTGTTATTTCCTCCAGGGAAAAGACAAGAGTCCATGTATTTTTTAACTATCCTTCATTCCTAAAGTTAATTAGAATATCATAAGGCTCAATAAAGTTTTATTAGAATGGAGGAGTATTTGTCAATACATAAAATGAAGTCAAAGCAGGAGGCTCTTTTGATTCAAACTACAGCTATTCAGAAAACTCTTTTAGTACAGTCAAGAAGCTCTGCGGAGAGTAGGTGTTCAATAAATAGCATTCAAGTAGTTGGTGGTTATAGTTGGTAAAATATCTGAAATAATGCTAGGAATAAGGAGAATTCTTTTTAAATCTTCTTGTGTGGATAAGGTAAGATTTCCATGTCTCTGGTTTTTTTTTGTTTGTTTGTTTGTTGTATTTAGCACAGGGTGAACAGAGTCTCACTGCATAGATCCGACTTCTGTTTATAGCCTCCCAGGTGCTGGGATTACAGGCGTGTGCCACTACGCCCAGTCTCAGTTGCTGTCTCAGCATGCCCTGGGGGTAGGGCCGGCATGGTAGGCTTGGAGATTGAACTCTCAGCCCCTGAGTCTGCCTAAGCAGGTGCTTTAATCCGCTGAGCTATTTGGCTGGCCCTAAGATTTCCATGTCTCTGTATTACAAGGTTTTATGGTTTTAGAGCTAGTATTGATCAATTTCATTTGTGCTGCCATTGGGCCATGGTTCTAGATTTTTGCTTACAATTAAGTCATGGAGATATTTTGCAGCTGGGAGCAGTGTGACATGATATATGAAGGCTGGTACCAAGATCCACCATTTTAGTTCATGTCTGAGTAAACTTGTGGCTGGCCCTGGTACTATCTTCCTAGATACACCATACAGTCATTTCTTTTCTATTGTAGTGCCCTCTTCCTGATAGCATAGCCCGCTTTGCCTGTATCTTCCTCCTGACAATATTTACCTCCAGTAGAGAGAGATTTTTATGGTGATGATGGGCAGATGGATACCATGCTGAGGTGAGAGAAATCCTTCACTCTTCTATTTCTTGTTTTCTTCTTGGTTTTGACCCTGATTTCCTTTTCACTTGAAAATGAGGCTTTTGTACAACAAAACCCAGAAATACTCACACAATATGCACTTTTTTCATCATGTCTCATCCCTCTCCTGAGGAAAGGATTGCAGAACCTGTACTGACTGAATTAAGGGGAAGGGAAAGGAGAAACATACATGGAGGGAGAAACAAAGCCAACATTACAAATGGATATCTCAGAATATGGTCACAATACTCATCTAGTAAACTCTGGGTTTCATCAGAACTGCGAGAATTAAAGGATAAAGTATATGTAAGTGGTTTAGGACATTGCTTGCGAAGGGGATGGGAGAGTAGTCAATAAATGTCAGCTGTTATATTATCCAGGACTCCTTCACCCAGGGTGGGACCTAGGTTCCCTTCTCAAGTATGGTCTTGCAGGACAACTACCCCACATTCACTGTAGTGCTGAGTTGTGAGTGATCTCTTCTCCATGTTTGCCAGGAATGATTCAGTCTGGATGACATTTCTGGTCTCACTGAAGGCAGGCTTGATTCTGTAGCTCCAAGTGAGTCTCTTCCCAGTACTGTGTTACCTCCCAACCCTCCACCCCAGAGGAAGGAAGGAAGCTAGGAAGCTCCGTCATAAGTCCATTCGGCACCCTTAGTGGTTTGGATCCAGGAGTTACTGGCTTTTTTGTTAGTCATGAGTCTACAATTACACTGACATTCAGAAGCAGCAGGTTCTTTTTGGCACTGACAACTTTAAATTCAACAAGCATTTATTGAGCACCTAGAGTATGCGAAATGGTAATTCGTTTGAATACATTTGGTCCTAAAGTATTTGTTTTAACTACCCATTTTGGATTAATGTTAAGCAATCTTTCAGGGTTTGATGAAGAATAAATATTAAAATAACAAAAAACATTTGCACAGTTCTTTGCAAATACAAACGTCTTGTGTGGATTATTGTTGCTCCAGTATTAATATTAATTACAATGACAACACTGCTGCTTCGCAGGCAGGCAGTAGAGAGCAGCTGCAAGCCAAATGGAGCCAGAAGGAAGAGGTCAGGGGAGGTGCCTCCAGCACGTCCGGCCCAGAAGGGGCGGGGAATGAAGGCAGGCAACCAAGTCACGCCCTCCACCCTGCCCCCTTTTCGTCGTGAGGCGTAGGCGGTTACCATGGAGATGACGTCTAAAAGGCGGGGCGGGGCGGGGCTATGGAGAGGAGGAGGAAGATGGCGGGAGGGCGGCTCTGAGGAGACCTCGGCGGCGGCGGAGGAGGAGAGAAGCGCAGCGCCGCGCCGGGGCCCATGTGGGGAGGAGTCGGAGTCGCTGTTGCCGCCGCCGCCGCCGCCGCCGCCGCCTGTAGCTGCTGGACCCGGGCGGGAGTGAAGGGGAAACGGCAGGATGAAGTTCGCCGAGCACCTCTCCGCTCACATCACTCCCGAGTGGAGGAAGCAATACATTCAGTATGAGGTACCGGCGGCGGCCGGGGTGTGGGAGGACGCGGAGGGGCCACCTTCTCGCCAGTCTTGACTTCTCCCGCTGCCTCTAGCTGCTTCTGTCTCCCCGCGGACTTTGACCCACTGCCGCGGGAGCCACTGCGGCATCCCCGCCGCGGCCGGCCCCCGCGGCCCCGCTGCCCTTCCCCTCCCCCGCAGCCCGCGGCTGCAGGGGTAACGGATATGCGGGCGGCGGCGGGAGGAAGGGCACAACCCGGCCGCGCTGGGCCGGGGCCGGGGCCGGGGCCGGGGCCGGGTGGTGGAGGCTCGCTGCAGGTGGGGGAGTCGCGGTGCGAGGTCAGCCCCGGGCCGCCGCGGTTCCCCGCTAATGCCCTCCTCCCCGCGCACTCCAACTTCCCCTCCCCGCGGGAGGTGCGCCCCCTCGCCAAGGTTAGGTCTTGTTTCTTTTTGCTCACCTCTGAGCGCGGATTCTGGTCTTCCAAGATAAGCCCATCCAGTGATTCCTTCATTCCACGGAGCCCTTCGGCTTTCCCCTCACTAGCTGACTGTTGACAAAGGCTTTGTAACAAGATCGAAACTTGATCGAAATGTATGTCACACATGCAGTGGTTATAGTTTACGGGAACGTATTATAATCAGCGATCCCTTTTTGATAAGACAGTGAGTGGCTTCTCTTTTGGTGATTGCATGAAGTATACAGAGTAACCACACATCTTTGGTTTTGATTCCACAGTTGTTATAGAATGGAGGGAAGAAGGAGGGAAGAGAATTATTTAAAATTTCAGGTTTCTGCCAAGATTGTGATAGCTAGGAATATATTATAAACACTACCTTAAAGAGAATTGTTGTCCCTCTCCTTCCCAGTTTTTGTGATAACTGCTCTTGGAGGATATTTTATAGTGATAAGTAACCATACCTCCATACAAGGAAAAGTAAAGATAATGAAACCAGAAGGCAAGATGCTTGAAGGGCTTTCACCATTGTAATAGGTAATTCCTAGGAGCTAGTAATTAAACTACCGAATAGAGAAAGATGACTTAATCTCTAACCTCCAGGAATTCACACCCAGGAACAAAGAGTATAAAATCAATGTGGACACACACACGACTAGCTAGATTTTATGAACTGAACTATTTTAGTTGTCTATTTGATTTTTACATAAGTTTAGTGGTAGGGTGTGTAGGCAGTAGGAAGTTTATTTGTGTAGCCATTGTAATTGAAGAAGCTTGTGTAGGTAGGTTAGGTAGAATCTTGAAAGTTGTTAAATTTACTTGTAAAATACAAAATTGATTTATTGTCAGAAGTGAATGGCCTGTAGTTGTTAATGTTTTCTTGTCACTGATTTGTGTGTGTGTGTGTGGCCACAGTTTGTAAGAAAAGGAACATTTCAGCTTATAGAGTTGATTTATTGTTTCTAATAACATTGGGTCAGTTTTAAAATCTTGGCTAGAGTCCAGATGATGGATTTTATTGAAAGGCGGGTATTGGTCTTTCATCTATGAGTAGTAATTTTCAGCACCACTGCCAGTTCTTCATAGAGGCATTAGGCAGGAGCATGCTGGAGCACATCTTATTCTTGTTACATAGTGTTGAATGCTTGATTTGGGTAGAAATAACAGTGGCTAAATGCATGCTGTAATTCATTTTAAGCATTTTATTACTTGACTTTCATAGAATTAATTAGGGATATCTGCGATTGGAAGAGGAAGCATAGGAACCAGTTAGAAAATGTAGTTAACTTGATTTGTAATGTCGGCTTTGTGGCTTGATTAACTACAGTGACTCTGAGACTCATAGTCCATTTGGATCCTACTCTTAAATGGTTCCTCTAGGTTGATCACAGAGAGACTATCTGTGCTTTTGTTTGAGTGCATTATCTTTCTCTGGCTAATTATAAGTTTTTGAAAAATTCATTTGTTGTAGAAAATTAAAATTTGATTTTGTAGAATGCCTATAATGTGACACCTATCTGAATAGTTACTGGTAGGCAAAATTAAATAAGGGGCATATTTCTTTGTAAATTAGAACCATTAAGGAAATTTTGAGGTTTATAATTTTTGTGTTGTGTATTGTTTTAAAAAAGTTGATACTGTTCCTTTAAAAATAATGAAGAGATATGAATAAGAGCCTTTAGTGTTCACAATGTTGGCAGCTTAAAAACTTGAGGAAAAGGAACATCCATAGAAGGTCTGTTGCCTTTGCTAGTGTAAAAGACTTTCTCATAATGAAATAATATGTACTTTCCCATATCTGAAGATGATGGTATTTTTAAAGCACTGGAGGTGAAATTTTAATGTATTGCACTTGATTTCTAGCATAGGGTGCTTTCTAGTGGTGTGAATCATATGAACTGTCCAGCTTCTTTGCTTTTCATGTCAGTTTGCCATATTAAATGTTATTGGAATTAAGCAGAGCTTTAGATTGGAGCTGAAATTTTTGGTTACATCTATATTATATACATATGGCTAATGTGAAAAAATGCTAGTTTTTATATATGTTACCCATGAGATGCTGGGGACAATCTTTTTGTCTTTCCAGAAATCTTTTCTATAAAATGTGAATATGGATGAATATCACAGCTTTTCATATTCCATTCTAGTTCATGAGTTTTTTATTTAAATTGTAGTGATTTTTATTTTTTTGATTGTTAAAGTTATTCATGATAGTAGCCCATTAATGTTCTCAAGATTATTAAAAGAGTTTTTAATATATAAGTAAGTACATGTATTTAGTCTTTTTTATATACTTTTTATTTATTTTTTTTAATTATTTATTTATTTTTATTTATTACATTTATTTATTGTGTGTATGTGTGGCCAGCTCAGCCCACCAGGGGGCGGGGCTGGCTGGCATGTGGTGCTGGGGGATTGAACCGTGGTCCCTGTGCTCTGCTAAGCTTGTTCCAAGTAGATGCTTTAGACCACTGAGCCATCTCACCAGCCCCATGTATTCAGTCTTTAAAGGGAGAATAATAAGCATAAAAGATTAACGAATAGAGCATCTTGGAGAAACCATGTAAAGAAGTCTATTTGATGCATTTGTAGTTTTATGAAGGATAACACAAATAATCAGAAACTATTTTTATTTCTAATCATCTTGAGTGTAAACATCATATAAAATTGAACAGCAGTGTGTCTTTATGAGAATATTCTTAAATTTATAATCAGTGATTGCATATTTTAGAGCTGTATAACAGATACATTAAGATTAATTTAGACCAGGGGCATCCAAATAAATTAGTGTGACCTATGTTAATATTTAACAGACTGTTAATGAAAGAAGCAAATGTATAGAGTTTAACAAAAAATGTATATATCAGGAAAAGAAAAACGTGTAAATACTTTAATACTAAACTTATTGAGCCATCATGACATTAAATGTTACCTTTGGCCTCTACAATTAAAAGAGGTGCTCAAAGTGGTGACCGTTAGTTTCCAGACATTGAACTTCTGAAATGTATATACGATTTTGGCAGACTCTGTATTTAGTGCTTTAGGCTACTGATTTGTGTTTTCTTCTCTAGGGTTCTATACATTTTTGCATTTTTAGGAACCAGGAATAAATTTTTTCAGTGTATACTGTAATTTTGTAAGGTAATAAAACAGTGAAGTCTCCAAAATTACAGGATTTTAGAGCTGAAAGGTAATTTAAAGATTATCTCTTTGTTTTTTACATACAAGGAATATAAGATCCGGAGAGGCTATGCCACTTGTTTAGTGTATGTCTCTCTCTCTTTCTCTCTCTCTCTCTCTCACACACACACACACACACACATACACCTATCCTTTTGAGCACTGGATATGTAAACATTAGGAGTTAAGTCACTAACTCTGAGACCCTGATGAAATAAATCACTTCCTCATTCTGAAGTTTAAGGTTCTTCATTTTAATGTTAAGAACTGTATTTAGTGGTTTCTAAACCCATAGCCTCATATTATCTAAGGACTCACCTGACTTTAAATATCTATGTCTTGTTATGCTTTAATTATGTTTGTTTTACAAAGGCAATAGAACTTAAACGACAATTTTAAAATCATTTTCTTAATAATATAATTTTAAATAGTGTTGATGTGATTTTGATCCATAGAAACTAACCTAAGAAACTTTTATTTAACGTCAATAAATGAAAAGTTACAATCTTTTTTTAGGAAAGGAGAGGTACTGTATCATCCGTGCAAAGCTAATTTTCAGGTATAAGGAAACATTGCTATAATGTTCTTGTGATTTTCATTTGTAGAACTATCCCATGAGAACATTTGTGTTGCAGGCTTTAATTTCTCAAAGGTATTATGTTGATTAGTTAGAGTTAACTTGCCTTGTTGAAACTTGTTTGAAATTTCTAAGTTGGCCACTCTATGGGGCACAAACCACATGTTTTTACAGGCACTTTTGCAAATGAAAATACAGCATAATATATTTAAAATATGCTTATAAATTGTGTTAGTGAGATACCTGGCATTTACAAATATTTCTTAAATGAGTGAATGAATATTGTAGAGTCAGGAAGCTATAACTGTTCTTCGTTATCTTTATAAAGTAAAGGGTGAGTATCCTGGTAAGATTATACTTGTCCATCCATCCCTGAAGGTTGGTTTTGGATCAACTTTTGGGTGAAGGCCCAGATCATAAGAACCTAAGAGTCTTATTTGACCTGGGGTGACCATGGAAAATTAGTCCTGGCTTCAGATTGAGTTCTAATCTGGAAAACATTTGAGAGACTGATTTGAGTGGTGCTAGCTAGAGGTTTCAGGTATACTTGAGTTACAGTCTCTAAAGGAATGTATCCAGAATTCACATGGAGTAAGAGAATTTTGTTATTAAAATTGTAAATTTTATTTTTATGCATATCAAAAGGAAATAAAACTTCACTAGTATTTAATAAGTGGATTGGTAATGCAATACTCTGGCTAAGGAGAGAAACGGGATTGCTGATGATTTTTCTCTTCTGTTTGTTTCCTTTGGCAGGTAGTAATTAATCCATTTATGCATGTGTAATGAAGTGAATGTATAAGG